CCCCTCTCAATTCCCCTTCTCCCCATAGAGAGAAATTCAACAAGCATGAACCACCGGAGACCTTATCTACAGTCGCCGTCGAGGACTCCCAAGCTCGCCGTCTACTGCCTCCTCCTAACATCACTCTTCCTCGCCTGCATCGCCCTCCTCAAGCACAAAATCCGACCCGACCCGAACATCGCCGGCCTCCGCGACCTCCAGATACGGGGCTGCAACGTCACCGACGAGAAGCGCCGCCTCGTCGCCGGCCTCGAGCCGTTGATCTCCAAGGAGCCGCTCGACGTCTGGGAGGGCCTCGGCAAGGAGGAGAAAAACGTGAAGTACCTACCCGCCCTGACCGGTCTCCCCGGGAAGGACCGGATTGTGTACATCGACCTCGGCGCCCGCGAGTACGAGTCGAGCATCGGAAGCTGGTTCGTGCGGCAGTACCCGAAGCAGGGGAAGCCGTACGTGGTCTACGCGGTGGAGGCCGACCGTTCTTTCCACAAGCAGTACGAGTCGCGGCCGGGGGTGACGCTGCTGCCGTACGCCGCGTGGATCCGGAACGAGACGGTGGTGTTCGGGAGCAAGCCGATCATCGTGAAGGACCGGGTGTGGCGGATGCGGCCCTTCGGGAGGATCGAGGGGGACAAGGCCGAGGGGGACGGGCTGTCGGCGGTGGTGAGGGTGCCGGCGTTCGACTTCGTGGAGTGGCTGGCGGCGACGGTGAGGGAGACGGACTTCGTGGTAGTGAAGATGGACGTGGAGGGGACGGAGATCACGCTGGTTCGTGAGCTGGTGCGGCGGGGGGCGATGTGCCTGATCGACGAGCTGTTCATGGAGTGCCATTTCGACAGGTATGTAAAGTGCTGCTCCGGGGAGAGAATCAATCGGTTCAATTACACGTACGGACAGTGCTACGATCTGTTCGCGCAGCTGAGGGAGATGGGCGTGGTGGCGCACCAGTGGTGGTGAGTGGTGGCAGATGAGTGGTGAAATTATCGTGTTCCTATTTTTTCGTTTTTTTTTCATTTTTTTTTTT